CAGGATGAGGGGGTTTCATGTGGCTTGGATCTGTCAGAGGACGAGGATCTCCCACTGGACCAACCCGCCTTTATGGGCTTGTTTCCCCAGGCATTATTCAAATCCTTGCTGCACAAGGCAGTCACTATGGCCCAGCTGGGTTCTCCATCCCCAACGCCTACGCCTCCGATCACGGCCAAAGGGGCTCTGAACCGCTTGTTCACTGAACCATCCCAACCAGTGGACATGATCCCTACCCCTCCTCTATTCCTCGATATCATCCGGAAACAGTGGTCCTCTCCTGGATCGAACCCGGCTCCTACGGCGACGGACCACAGGAATTTTAATGTGGCACAAGACTTAGCCACCATTCTCCAGGTCCCGGCTGTGGATGCACCAGTGGCCGTCCTCCTACTGCATACAGCGGTCCCAGGAGATCTGGACGAAGGCCTCCACCCAGAAGAACGCCGAGCGGAGCAAGTACTCCAGCACGCTCACCAGGGTGCCGCTTGGGCCATACGGTCGGCATCTACGGCTTCTTTCTTTAATCGGACGACCCTCCTCTGGCTCCGGCAGTTGCAGGAGAATTTGGTGTCGGAAGATATTCGAGTGCGACAGGATCTGAACAAGATCATCGTGGCCACACAATTTTCTGCGGATGCTACCCTGAATGCCGCTCGCTTTTGCAGCCAAGTCCCTTGCCTCTTGTCTCCGCCTGGCGCCTGCTCTGGCTTCGCCACTGGCAGGCTGACGCCAGACATAAGTGGCATCTGGCTTTGGTTCCTTTCTCGGGTTCCAAACTTTTCGGGGATTCCTTTGACGCCTTCCTCACTGAGACGAAGGACAAGAAGAAGGTTCTCCCGGTTGTCTTTCGTAGGGGGGGAGTCGAGATTCCAGCCTTACCCATCTCGTCCCCAGTCTCGTCCTTATGATGGTGCTAGCTTTGCCACTCCTTCTGCCACATCTCATGGGACTTTTCATCCTAGACAACGGGGCGCTCAAGACAGGGCGTCCAGAGTTGGCCTTTCACTTCCAAACGGCCCTTTCGAGGGGGAGGAGATCATTTCTCCAGGCACCGTCATTAACTGCATCCCGGATCCTCCCATAGGGGGCAGATTGGCCCTCTTCACCCCTGTTTGGGAAGGGTCCACCTCGGATAAATGGGTCCTGGCCACCTTATGATCTGGGTTGGCCATCGAATTTCTCTCCCCTCCTCCGATGGTCTTTGTGCACTGTCCGCTTTCCAACAACATCGAGAAATGGTCCCTTATGGACTTGGCAGTTCAGCATCTTCTTTCAATCAGAGCTATTCAACTGGTGCCTGATGCTGAACAGGGGACGGGATTTTATTCCCGTGTTTTTCTTGTACCAAAGTCATCAGGGGGGTGGAGACCTATTCTGGACCTGAAACATCTTGACCGGTATGTCGTATACCGCAAGTTTAAGATGCAGTCTTTAAGATCTATTCTTGACAGTGTCAGGAGGGGCGATCTCCTCTCTTCCATAGACCTCACCGAGGCCTATCTCCATATTCCCATCCTCCCCTCCCACAAGAGGTTCCTTCGGTTCTGCTACGGGGAATGCCATTATCAGTATCGGGCCTTGCCCTTTGGCCTTTTGTCTGCCCCTGATACCTTTACCAAGGTATTGGCTGCCTTAGCAGCATCCCTTAGGGCCCAATCTATTCATCTACAATGCTACTTAGATGATATCCTAATTTTGTCTTCTACCCAGCAGCAGGCTTCCTCTGACCTGCAGCTTACTCTCCAGACCCTGGCTGCCCATGGCTTCTCCATTAACTTGGAAAAGAGCCACCTTGTCCCTACCACTCGTTTGCTCCATCTCGGGGCCCTGATAGATTCGGTGGCGGGGAGGGTTTATCTCTCATGTGAGCGACAGGATAGCTTGAAGTCCCTGATTTCTAAGGTTGAATGGGCTAGATCGGTGTTTCCCCTTGTCCTGTCACAATTCCTGGGCAAGATGATCTCCGCCATCTCAATAGTTCCCTGGGCCCAGTTACACTTGAGGGAACTTCAATGGTTTCTTTTGCCGTTGCAGAAGGTGGGCAGAGGCACTTCAGCTGTAAACGTTCCCGTTCCCAGGAGGGTGATCAGATCCCTAGGGAGGTGGCGGTCTCCGGCAATATCCTGAGATTGTCTATTCTTCGACCCACAGAGAGTGGTGGTGACAACAGACGCCAGCCTCCAGGGCTGGGGGGCTCATTGTCTGGGTCAAGTAGCGCAGGGCACCTGGAACAGTGCCGACGCCTGTCGGCCCATCAACTGGCTGGAACTGCAGGCTGTCTCCCTGGAGCTTCGAGCCTTTCGACATCTCATCTCCAACTCACAGGTCCTGGTCCTCACGGACAACATTACAGTGAAGGCCCATATCAATCGCCTAGGGGGCACACGGTCCCAATCCCTGATGTCGGAGGCGTTGAGGTTGGGCTTCTGGTCGGAGATTCACCTTGCCTCGTTGTGGGCGGAACACATTTCCGGCGTCACCAACGTACAAGTGGATTGGCTGAGCCACCAGCGACTGGATCACGTAGAGTGGCGTCTCCACCTTCGCGTTTTCCACCAGGTGGCCACTTGATTTGGGATGACAGTGATCGACCTCTTTGCCACATCAGACAATGCTCAGCTTCCGCGCTTCATCTTGCGGTACCTGTATGCGGAGTCTGCCGATGCCCTATGCTCCCCGTGGCCGCCAGGGCTTCTTTATGCGTTTCCTCCAGTCTCCCTGCTTTCCCGAGTGATTCACAAGCTGTTGCTGGAGCAAGCGGAACTCATCCTTCTGGCCCCACAGACCTTGGTTTACGGACCTAGTGTCGTTGTCAGTAGCCCCTCCTTGGCAGCTACCTCAACCAGAGGACGTCCTGACTCAGGGGGCAGTCAGACATCCGGACCTGCAGTGGCTCCGTCTGACCACTTGGCGGTTGAGTGGTGTGCCCTAGGAGATGCCAACATTCCAGCAGATGTGATCCACACCATTCAGGCTTCACGGAGGCCTTCTACAGACCGAATTTACTCGGCTATCTGGCAAGCCTTTTGCACATGGTGTGATTGGAACAGGGTCCAACCCCTCCAGGCCTCGATTGTCAATATACTGGTGTTTCTTCAAGAGGGTCTCTCTAAAGGCCTTTCTCCTAATACATTGCAGAGACAAGTGGCGGCGATCTCGTCGATACTTACCTTCGGTTCATTGTCGTCCCTGGCCCAGCACTCCTTGATTCGCCAATTCCTGCGGGGCGCTACCAATCTATGCCCTCCTGTTCTACAAAGGTACCTGACCTGGGACCTTTCCATAGTTCTTAAGTCTCTCACGGATGCTCCGTACGAGCCCTTGCAAATGGCTAGTCTGCAACTATTAACATGCAAAGTTGCCTTTTTGGTAGCTATTACCTCGGCTTGCCACATTTCGGAGATTGCCACCCTTTCCATCCGGAATGACCTCTGTGTGTTCCACGAGGATCGTGTTGTACTCCATTTGGACCCTACGTTTGTGCCCAAGGTCAATATGACCTTCCACCGCATGCAGGAACTTGTCCTGCCCAACTTTTGTCCATACCCGGCTCACAGGCTCGAACAGTGGTGGCATTCTTTGGATGTCCGGAGGGCTCTCTGAGTTTACATTACAGACTGTGGATTTCCGTAGAACGGAATCCCTATTTGTCTCCTTCCTGCCAGTTTCTTTAGGTTGCAAGGTGTCGTCGACGACCATTGGACATTGGATCCGGCAGACAATAGCCCTGGCCTACGAACTACATTCCCTACCGAGACCACCTCGACTGACTGCGCATTCTACCCACAGTACTGCGACATCGGCAGCTTGGGCCACGCAGGCCTCATTACTCGAAATCTGTAGGGTGGCGATGTGGATTTCACCTTCCTCCTTTATCCAACACTATAAACTGGACAAGTTTGTTTTGGCGGATGCTGCTTTTGGTCGCCGAGTGCTGCAATGGGTCATCTCGGGGGAGGATTCTTCGGACCAGCCTGGTCCCCCCCTATTGTAGGGACAGTGAACTTTGGTATGTCCCATCCTGGCTGCTGTCTCCACCCACAATGGAGAAGGGGCGTTGGTCCTACCTGAGACGCTCCTTCTCATTGGGTGGAGACAGCAGCCAGACCCTCCCTTTTTTCCAGTCTGGTCTCTCTCTTTGTCTTTCTTCTTGGTGTCCCACACACCGGGCCTGTCTTAGTGTCTTCGCCAAAGCTGGGGTCTACCCAGTAACAAGGGTGGGACTTAACAACTTTGACAGGCTCAGTCTATCAATCTGAACAGACGAGCACACCCCATCCTGGCTGCTGTCTCCACCCAACGAGAAGAAGCGTCTCAGGTAGGACCAACGCCCCTTCATATCATTTCTCCTTTATCCTTTAAAGTGAAACAGCCCACATGGCTGTCATAAACATTCCTCAACGCTAAGGGGTCTCAGGGCTCTTTGGCGCCAGGATATATATAGGTTGTAAAATATCTGTTGACACAGGCAATGCTAGTAAATCGAATCCAAGTCTCCCCCTTCTCCCAACTGAATGGCAGTATCACTTTCAGGTATCCGACAGCTAAATTCTGTTATTCTTCTGTAATTTTACATATTTTTTGACATTAGAAAAAGTACTCAGAAAGCAAATGGAGGAAATACAGATAATTCACAACAGAACCTTCATTAATTGGACATTTCATTCTAAAGAAAAATATACTATTTAATACACTACTTTAGGGGTCCTCAGCCTGTGAGGATTGCAACCAGGCTGTGGAAATGGCCGGTGAGTGTGCGCATACAAATCCTCACCTGCAAGTCTGCAAAGCTGGAAATGTTTGGGAACTGCACTAATTCATCTTCCCATGATTGGCTGTTTTCTATGAGTAAAAGTGATAAATAACAACTCTGCCCCATTTAAAATTTTTATTCCATAAATAATAATAAAGTTTCCTGATTTACTTGCTTTTTATTTCTTTTAATTCACCAATCGTATTATGGGCTCAGAATACATGAAAAGTACTCTAGACATTTATGATTTTTTTCATTTATTTAAAATTATCAATTTATTAGTTCTCTTTAAGATACAGCCAGATAAAAAGATGTTGCATTTTTGCAATTAAATGCACACATATAAAGGGAAAGTAGAGCCAAGAACAATATGTGAAATAAATAGAAGTCTGAAAACACATGCAAAAATTGATGGCACGTACTATCCTCTTTCATTCTTCTACATCTACATGCTCATTGCTCATTGTGGTACTGAACTGAATGATCCACCAAGTGTGTATGTGTGTGTGTTTATGTAGGTATGTAGGCATGTACACACACACACACACACACACACACCATGATTCATCTAATACAGTGGTATTTTAATTAAAAGTCTGACAGAACTGAAATATATAGCAATTATGTGGAAACTGATGCACTGGCATTAAATAAACAGAAACTGATTTTTTTAAAGACAAAAAACACGTGCATTCATACAACCTAAATATACCAATTGCTTCCAAATAACTCTAAAACATCTGTGATTTACATAATCATTTCTATGAGCTTCCTAGATAACCTCCTCAAAAATGAAGAGGCATCCCATGACACGAGTCTCCTAGATTGTGGAGTTCCTTTTGTACTCCATTCTGTTTTAAGTCCTCCCCTTCCCCCCATTTCTACATGCTGGACTGCTTTAAGCATTATCTGAATGAGACTTGGAATCCTAAACCATGCAACACAGTTGAAAAGTAAGAAATACAGGTTTATGCTTTTCAGTCAAGCAGAATTTTTCTGTTGTCTCTAAATGCTGGAGAATATAGTGATTTGTTTGTAATTAGTAACAAATAATTAGAAATCAGAGTTTGATTCTGGATTATTGAGCCAACTATAAATTAGGATAACAAAAAGTCATCATCCTTGAGAAAATAAATATTTAAAATCTGAAGCTTTTCATTAAAATCCTAGAACAAAAATTAGAACTGTTAGTCCCTATTTTTGTACTTATATCCTTGTTAGAAAGGGTGAGTTAAACTAATAATGTTTTATATTTTGTTTATAAAATTATTAACTTTCAGTAACTCAAAAGCTAGAGACATGGGAAGTGGCTACAAATGTCATTCCTTTTACTTTAACACTTGCTATTTTGGCATTTTTTGTATTACAGATATAAATTTTATTTTTAAAGAGGCCTACTATCAACTCATTCAATAACTTTGGCTCCCAAGGAAAGAGATATTTATTTTAGTATTTTTAACATTGAAGCAAAGAATAATTCTAAGGTATTACTTTCATTTTGGATATGTCATCATGATTTTTCTGTGTCTGCAGTAAAAGTTTATTTAAATACTTTTCACTTTATAACCAGTGCAGCTTTGAAAAAAATAATATAGAATATGGTCATGCTACAAAACAGTAGAGGCAGGGAGCACGCTTAGCAATGCTTCTCAATATATATTATTTCAAGTTTATTTCATAAGGGAAAAATCAAATCAGTTAGAATTATGACCCCTGAAGTACAATGTTCCCTCCTTACTACAAAGGCCAAAGAAAATGGTCAAAATGCTAAGCTACTGCTATGATGAACACTTCATGAAAAATGAAGACTCCTCATAGAATTCACTACCCATCCTGAAATCTTGCAATTCTGACAGCATGATCAGTAATCCTTGCCAAATGATCCTGTTGTCATGTCAAGTTAGGCTAACTAGAGAATTGATCATTCTTTTTCCCTGTGCAAGGACCACTTTTTTCAGTGCAAAGAAAAACAAAACAGCTTTTCAAAATTTTAGCATGTTACATATTCAAAACAGTGACCTTATTCATCTACAATACATCTAATACATATTTACATTCTATATAAATTTTACACTTTCTCCAATTAGGCACAAAGTTGATTTGTCAAACTCAATAACAAATGGAAGAAAAAAGTGTTTGAAGGAGGAGCTTGAGATATATTAAGCCATTTATCGTAAGCTAGTTTGCTTGGGAAGTTTTCCTCCCATTAGGATTCCAGGGGTTAGAGATGATGGACCTTTCATCTGCATGCTCGAACCAACCATAGTTGGGAAACTTTGATTCCTTCTAATGCCAGTGTTCAACTGAATGCCTCCAATAGCAGTTGTCACAGCAGGGCAACCCAAAGGCAAACTCTCAGGCAGCAGGCCTCCAGACTTTTGTGATCCACAGAAAAGAGGTCCTTGTTTATCAGTTAATTTAAGAGCTTGTGTTTCCCCTGAATTTACAACCTTGGCAATTCCAAACCTTTTTACTTTGTCCACTAGGTTAAGGTTGGAGACAGACACATCAGTTTGACTCTCACTATTTCTGATATTTTTTTTGTCTCTTACTTCCTTCAGAATTGAACTAGCTGGTTTGGAAGCCAGGAAGTTGTCATAAGGAGGACTGGGACATTTGAACTCAAAAGATGGTGGGGAAGAAGAAGGTGTCTGCATAGGTGAGTTTGGAGGAGTGGAGGGAATGGCAGTCATTCTTGGAGAATATGTGCTCAGAAGAGTGTTCCTGCCCACTCTGTCCCAACTTTGTGGGTTATACACTGCTGCTGATATCCCATGTTCCTTGAGAAGCCATACAAGTCCTAAGGATGTACTCATTGTAGTTGTGGATTCCCGAACATTAGTGAAGGATTCTACCAAACTCAGGCGCCGAGGAGTACATGGGGTGGCCACCGGAGTGCCTTTCAAATTGCCAACATTGCTACAAGCTGGAGTAGGTGCTGCATTAAGGCTAAGGAAAAAGCAAAGCTTAAGTTAATGTCTTTGCAGATATTAATATTAATGAACAGTATAGAAAATCTATTACTAAAAAAACTCTGTTTATCTCATATTCTTTAAGCAATAACTTCTCAATAGCCATTTTCAGGCACACTTTGAATTCAATTCACTCTGTTATTAGGTTCTTTGAACTCCTTTTGGCTAATAGGAAAAGATGGATATGATAAATATATCCCAGTTATAGCAAATAATTAAGTTTAAATCAGTTTCTGCTTCACAATAATCAACTAATGGAAGCACCACTTACCAGCTGAAATAAAAATGATGCTTAAAGAAAATCTTACAAAACATAAAATCTATTGTATCAAAAAGGTCTTCTTAAATATAAGCTCCATTCAAATAGGCCACACCCATAGTATGATCCTAAAAAGTACAATTTAATGTTTTGTGTACATGATTGAGCACTATTAATATAGCAAAGTTTAGACTAGAATTGCATACATTTTATCTCAGTGTGGGGTGGTAACATACTGAACGTATGAAGAACTGATATATTCCTCTGTAAATAATAATAAATAACCACTCAGCTTTTATCTTAATCAACTCAAGATATTCTAAATAACATTTTCACTTCCTTCCCCTCACAACAACAAATCCGTGAGATGGCTTGGATCAAGAGAAAGTGAGGTCACGGGGTAGCAATGTCTGTTAGGAAATTTAGTATTTCTTTCTTTTTGTTCATTTATTTCATTAACTTATTTAACACATAATTTTTAAAAAATATAAGGAAAGCCTGAATATAAAGATGAAAAGGGCTGAATTGTGTTTTGATCGCTACAAATTTAAAAAAGAAGTATTTTAGTCCTAGAAGTTACAAGTGCTCAATTTTTTAATATACATTATATAACTTTGAGAATGATTTTCTCCACAAATATAATAAAAATAATGTTCATGTTATGGTGATAGTTGAAACTTGTGCTTAGTGGGCATTTGTCTCAAATCAGAATCAACTTATTTACTTCTCATTTTTTTCAAAACAAATTCATGCAGTAAGTCAGAAAATGCCGATCAGAAATAAGTTTTATTAAATGATGCACACAATGCACACTTTAAACTGCATGCAGGGTATCTAGAGATTTGTTTTATTATTCCAGTTGCAATAATTTGTTTTCCTTTCTCAACACTTCTTATTTATTTTTCTTTCAAGTATAATATAATGAGATTTCTATCACCAGTACATTCCGATAACAGTAATGACAAGAGCAACATGGTTCATGGAGATTCTCAGTCATCTAGGTCATGGTTGTCCTAAAGGCACTTTTTCAAAAGGCAACTGGACTTTCTGTGTTGTTCTCTTGAAAATGTTTCACTTCTCATCCAAGAAGCTTCTTCAGTGTTCACATTCAGTCAGAACTGAAGATGATTCTTGAATGAGAAGCGAAATGTCTTCACAAGAAAAAATACAGAAAGTCCAGTTGCCTTTTGAAAAAGCGCCTTTGGGATAAGAGTAACACAGCAATTCTTCTCTGCCACAGAATGAAATGTAAACCTTTCTAATATCTTGAATCTTATGAATCACATAATCCTTCAGAATGGGTACAATGCAAAAGAAAAGAAGCCAAATTCTGTCTGCCCAATAAGTTACAAATGGGGCCATATCCCAATAGTATCAAAAAACCAAAAATCCAATTAAATTTAAACTTTTTGATATTAGGTCCACTGGTGAGCATTTATCTTGGATAATAAAATAATTGATAGATGGATCTAGAAACAGAAAGATGATAGATAGATAGATAGATAGATAGATAGATAGATAGATAGATAGATAGCAGGCAGGCAGGCAGGCAGGCAGGCAGACACAGACAGGCAGACAGAGGCAATTTTACTTGTACGTAAAACATTTATCTTATTAACCTGTGGAAAGCACGCTACAAATAAAAAACTGCTGGAGTTTGAATAGCAGTAACTGATAATATAATTAACCATTTCTGTGATACTCAAGATGTAGATAAATTAATCCTTATGCAAGTCAAATGGAGATTTCTATGTGAAAGTACTCCCAGTTTTTGTCAGTTAATGTTTGACAGGATAAAATATTCTGTGCATAATAATTTTTTAAGTCACTAAATGATTTGCTTCAATTGTAATGATTTCTGGCAGCAAGGATCCTCCTTGTTCATAATAGTTATGTATAAAAACTGAGCTGCCATATTTAAGTGCAAAATTATCACCTTTACCAGTTGCCTTCATGAGGGCAGAAGAAAGCATCTGAACATGGAGACACTGTATATCTATTAGCAGAATTCTTGGCTCTCCTAGCATCTATAATCTAGGAATCTATATTATGAGTTAATCTAGCTCATGAAAAGAAGTCAGCTTCCATTGAAAAAGCAGTTCTGTGTATTCCAATTAAAAACTAAATTTTAAATGCACTTTAAAAATAGTAAATATTTTTAAATATTTGCTATTTAAATAGCAAGATATAACTTGTTACACAGGCTCAGATATGTACAGGCAACTGTTTACATTTTGGACTAAACCATACTTTTATAATTTGTGGGATGATGTTAAACCCAACATCAACATTGATGTTAAACCCAACCATTATGGTTTAGATTTATATATGTATCAAATTATAATGGCTTATGCAGCATACCAATAGTCCTAGATTTACAATCATTCATTTAATGATTGTTTGAAGTTACAATGTGCTGAAAAAGTGATTTATTACCATTTTTCACATTTACAATCACTGTGATATTCCTATAATCAATATTCGGACATTTAGCAACTAGCATTTATTTATGATGATTGCAGTGTCTCGGGGCCATGTGATCTCTTTTTGTGACCTTTTGACAAGCAAAGTCAATGGGGAAGCCAGATTAATTTAACAACCATGTAACTATTCCACAAAGTTATTTAACTGTGGCAAGAAAAATCATAAAATGGGGCAGAACTTACTTTTTTAGTAATGGAAATTTTGGACTCAATTTTAGTTCTAAGTCTAGGATTACTGTAATATGGTATAAAAAATCCTGGCTTAATATTGTACATGAGTATCACCAATTGTGTTATAGAATACACTATCCATCAAAATAAAACTCATAGGTGCTGGTCTTATAAAAAACGCTAGACTTAGAATGACAGTATGTATGGAATGCTGCTGCCGTGACATTGATATCAGGGATGGTTTTGAGTTTCATCACTGTGTTTTAGCCATGTCAGTGTGGAGGGAGGGTTCAATTCATCTGTAATCTGTAATGATGTATCTGAGGAAGTTTTCAAAACAAAGTGAAGAGTCAGGGGAACTGGCATTGGTGCTCATAAGCATGGTGAATTGGTTTTGTGAGTCACAAAGTATGCAGAATTTGGGTGACAAAAACAAAGCCACCACATATTATTCTCTACCAAAGTGCACATTTTCCTCTGTTAATTCTTGGCAGATAATTCCAATTGTAGTTGTCAATACAATCAAGCCTCATTCATTTGGTTCTCCTATGAGAGCAGTTGTAAATGATTCACTGCACCACTGTGCAACATTTGGAGAAAAGTGGAAAAGGGAAGCAGTTTTCTTTATACCAGATATTCTCAAAATAGAAAAGTGTGGTTGTTTTGTTATGTTGTCGAAAATCAGACTATGCTAAGTCATAATAAATGATACACCATTGTGAAATATGGTTAGATACGATGATTTATGAAACAGTGGCATAAAATAAATAAAATTAAAAGATCTTTGATTGCATGGGTATATCTACTGTATATGAGAGCATGAATATTATGTAGCTGTACATACTTGTTTGAATTTGTTGTAGAAATACTGTAACTGCCACCTAGTTTTCATCTTGCCTTTAACTTTTACTGTTCCTGAAGCAGGCTTTTGTATACAAACTGACCCCACACAGCTACTAGCAAATCATGGTAGAAATAAAAAGCTTTTATTCTTTGTGACTCTGAGTATGTGCGCATTCAAAAATCATAGGCCTGAGCAACTACTGAAATTACTACTCAGCCTAGACATACAAAAATCCCAACTTGTATAGACTGATTATACAATGAATCTTTAGAATTAACAGAAGCTCCTAAGAAACTCTTCCCATCACTGTACTCTTTTGGTAATAGTACATTTATAAGTCAGCTAATAGGTTTTCATACCTAAAAAACAAAGAAGGAAAAAAAGCCCTGCTAATTAATTTTCAAGTTTATACTTGAAAGATCTCCTTAAATTACAAGAGACTAAAGTAGAGAAAGTGCAGAAAAATCCTGAATTTTTGCTGTTTGCTCAATTTGATGAAAAAGAATTTGTTTGCATATTATTTCAAGGAGAAATTAACTAATTAATTAACTAATTAACTAATTAACAGGGACTTACAATCCCTGTCCAGAATTACAGCCCCGCAGCATCCACATGGTCACATTAACAAAATTTTGATACTTGGCAATCCCCACACTCTTATGACCACCACAGGAATGCTGCAGGAGCTCTTCGTGTATCTTCTCTGCTCTGCTTCTGCTCTGCTGGAGCTACATGCTCCTCCCTATCCTCCGTCAGAACTTAATCCACTTATTTTTTCCGTAGAACTTCTTTAGGAAGCAGCCAAGTCTCCAGACAGCCTTTTTACACAGAAATTGTCTGATACTAACCCAGAAAGAGGTGCCAATGAATTGTGGCCACTGACAAAATGGCACCCACTTTTGGAACAGGGCAATGCCATGTATGAGATGGAGAGGTGCTGCAGTAAGAGCCTGGACAAGGCCACCCAGAGCTTTTCCCACTCCTGAGGCACTTCATGCTCTGCTTAGTGACCACAATAGGAAGAACAGGGATTATAGCAAGGATCACGTGAGGTGATCACATGGGCACCTTGCTTAATGATCACTATGATTTACAACTGTAATGGGCATGCTCCATTACAGTTGTAAATCAAGCAATACCTGTAAACAGCAGGGAAGATACTACATATTCTCTTGATTGATTACAGTTCTTTTACTAATATGCAATACCTAGTGAGGAGGAGGGATTCAAGCAGGGTGAAATGCTCCCGGTTCAGACTGGATCACCCAATCTGGTAGTGATGGCAGTAAGTGGTTCGGAGAACCGATAGCAAAAATCCCTGCCCTCCCCCCATGCCCAGCTGAATCGCGCAATCATCAGAGGCTTTTTTAAAAACTTTTTTTTTAACTTTTAAAAGCATTTTTTCTTTGGCCAAAGAAATGCTTTTAAAAGTAAAAAAAAAAAAAAGCCTCTGACGATCGCGCAGCTCAGCTGGGATCGTCAGAGCCTTTTAAAAGCATTTTTTTACAACCTCTTCAGCCGAAGAGGTTGTAGAAAAATGCTTTTAAAAGGCTCTAATGATCCCAGCTGAGTTGCCTGATCATCGGAGGCTTTTTTTTTCTTTTAAAAGCAAAAAAAAAAAATACTTTTAAAAGAAAACAAAAGCCTCTGACGATCAGGCAACTCAGCTGGGATCGTCAGAGCTTTTTAAAAGCATTTTTCCTACAACCTCTTTGGTCGAGGTTGCCCGTTTATAGAAAAAATGCTTTTAAAAATAAAATTAAAAAAATTGGCCATGCCCACCCAGTCACATTACACCCCCCCCCCCCCCACCAAGCCATGCCCACAGAACCGGTAGTAACAAATTTTACATTTCACCACTGGATTCAAGGAAGAAGAAATATCCAAAATATTTTCTAAAAAGAAAAGAAAATGAAGACCTTCCTTTGCATCTTCAATTATTGTTAGGTTCTATAAAATCAGCACTATGAAATTTAGAATTTTTGTTAGGTCACTTCATGTTAATGTTAAAATGGAACAGGGGAGAATGGGATTGATAAGAAGTCTTCAAGTTAGCTGATGCCACGAACACTAGCATTCCTTTTATGAGACTCCGCCAGCATAGAGGCTGCTGACTGTGCTGCTCACCCCCTGTCACGCTGGTCATATTGTGTGCCCTATATCTCCTCTCAGCATAAGGTGACATAAAGCTGTTTCATCGTCTTCCTCACATGACCTGTGAAGAAGCATCATTCATAGTTTAAGGAGATTCTCTTCTCTAGCAGTTGCATGATAATATTGTGGTTCTGAATTAATAATACAGAAATAATAATAACAATACAGATGACCATCAACTACAAACCTATCAGAGTATAAAAATGAATTAAAATTAGTAATACATCTCCATTTAATAGTAAATATTACACGAAACATGCTTCTGTTTTAATAAACAGGACAAAAGTAAGAAACCCAAATTTGCACTCATGTGTATCCTTCCAGAATTCCATTTGTATCTTCTCAGCATGCTGAGATTTTGTGCTTAGGTTCAGCAAAACTGGCTGAATTTGGGAGAGGGTTGTTTAAGGATATAAAGGGAGTATATTGTTGGGAACAGTTGCCCAGAATCATCTTATAGAGGAGATGGGTGGCATAAAAATTTAATAAATAAAATAAAAATAAAGCATTTATGCTCCCATCTCCATTCTTTAATTTCCTGAAAGGTGAAAAAAATAGCAAAACATTTCAACACACCTCTTTCAGTGATATTTCAGCATCATCTGATAACCTCCTGTCAGTGGTGGATTGCTCCCGGTTCTGTCCGGTTCTTTAGAACCGATAGTAAAAGCGGCGGGAGGCTCTGCCCACTCACCTGGACGTCATAACTGACGATCTGCGAATGTGTGCTCCCATTGCAAACCGGTAGTAAAGGTGAGTAGAACCCACCCTTGCCTCCTATGGCATTAAGAAGGTCAGAGGGATTGGTGCATCATTCTATTTTCACAAGTACTGCTCACAAGCTTTTATGGAGCATTTTTACCTTTTTTATTATTTTTTAATATGAATTCTGAAAATTCTTCATTAGCTCTATTTCATTATACTGATATGTATTTTCAGAGAGAAGATTTCAGTTATTGTATTTTTGTTTTAAAATATATCCACTGGCCTTACTGCTGCTTCTAAGTGCTAAAGTGGGAGAGTTGGCAGAAAGGTGAACCAATCAGGCCCTCTCTTTGGATCTATAGCACAAAATTAGTGAGATCCCCTGAGCAGCAAAACAGGAGGGGTCATAATTCTCTTCTACCCTAAAAGTATACCAAAAAGTAGTATCTGATTGGTCCAGTTCCTCATATATATATGTATGCAATTATGGCAGCTGTTCAAACATGCTTCAGGGAGAGTGTTCAGAGAATTTGCAATTTTTGTCCTGCAAATAGGGATATTAGGCAACAGGAAGGCAGCCAGAAAAGAGGTAACAGAAGTAGTAAGAGGATGTGAACAAGAGTGGGAAAGAGGCATTTTCTATTTCTCTGCCAATGAAAATTGCAATGGCATAGGAATATTTTTTTAAAAATGTTTTGGTTAGAACATCATGGATTAAAAGAGTGACATCCTAATTTTTTTTACTTGTACCAGGTGTACATCAACTAAAACAAACTTACAGATTCTGATGGCTGCATACATATAAATTAAACTGAGATAGTGTCAAACATGATTATTAAACTCTTCTTGCTTATTTGACTATATTTAATATTTCTGCACTTTTAGAAACTAAAACACCTCTCTGAAAACCCTTACCTTGGTGTGACTCGTGTGAGCTCGTCGGAAGGATGTAGAATACGGCAAGTGGTAAAGGTAAATGTGGAGTTGGTTTGTGACATGCACTTCCCAGGATGATGTACTACATTAAAAAGAGAGAACATTATTTGCATTTATATATTTAATGCAAATAATGCATTATTTGCATTAAAGAACTTTTAGATTCTCAAACTAACAGATGGAAAAGTGATGTACTTGTGATCTGTGCAATAAATATCCGATAAAAATCTCTTTATTATCTAGCTCCTCTGATATACTAATATCTATGAAAAGAGTCTTGTTAACTTGTCACATCTTTCGTTTTACAAGGGCAGTCCTTACTGTAAGGACTCTCAGCAGATATGAATCCTTTAGGGAGGCCACTAACAGGAAGTATTACTTCTACTTATTACTCTGGTGTGGTAATTTCCAATAGTATAAAATATCACGTAGGAAAGGCAACAATGTAATATATCATGCTAAATTGCCCCAATTCTAAGCAATCCAAATGCTATCTATTTGATCTTATTGCTACATTATTAGAAGTATTGAATGGGGAAAAAGAAGTGATGAGTGCTAATTCTGTAAGAAGTAAATATAATACCTATATCAGCAGGTTTATTTTATGGGCAAGATATAATCAACTCTTAACAAATATGTGCAACATCTAGAATTCATATATTTCAGTTTCTTTTACATTGATCCAGGCAAAAATGTCCCATCACTTTGATTCAGTAATGGATCCAGAGACAATAATAAATTTTAGGATACAAAAATAATAGTACAGAGTAGTGCTTAAATGTTTATGAACCTTTTTGAATTTGTAATATTTCTGTGTAAATATGACCTAAAACACAATCATTTTTCCAAGCAAGTCCTAAAACTAGATAAAGAGAACCCAATTAAACAAGTGAGTCAAAAACATTATATTTGTTCCTCAATTTATTGAGGAAAATGATCCAAAGCTATATATTTATGTGTGGTAAAACTACTTCTTTTCAGTAACTGATGTGTTGTTCTTGGGCAGTTAACATCAATTAAATGTTTCTGATAACTGTTGATCCATCCTACATATCAGCTTGCAGGAATTTGAGCCCATTCCTCCTTTCAGAGCAGCTTCAAATTAAGGATGTTGATGGGCTTCCTGACATGAACTGCCCATTTCAATTCCTCCTACATTTCTCTTGGAACTAAGGTCTTTAATTTGATCATTCCAAAATAACTTTCCTCTGCTTTAACCGTTCTTTGTCTTTGGAGATTCTCAGTCATCTGGATCATGGTTGTCCCAAAGGTGCTTTTTCAATAGGTAACTGGACTTCCTTGTTTTTCTTTAAAGACGTTTCACTTCTCATCCAACAAGCTTGATGATATTGCTCTACATTTCACAGATGGGTTAAAGTTCTTATGCTGGAATGCAGGATGTGCCTTTTGTCAAAAAGAATTCTTCCAATAGCCTTCAGGCTTATCCACATGGGCTTTTGCAAACTATAGATCTCCTTTGGCGTGCTGTGCACATGCACTATTTCAAGCTTGGAGACTTTTATCCGCATCTGAGCTTAAAACTGCCAATTATACCTGGGCTTGGGCAGAAGACCCTCTCCTTCCTCTGTGGATAAAAGTCCTCAAACTTGGAATGCAGTGTGTGCGCATGTGCATACGCTTAGCTGCCAGCAGTTTGGAGAGGCGAGGAGCTTGTGGGGACACTAAATTGTCCCCATGTCAAGTTAGCTGGTGTGACATGTTCCATCCTGACCCAGCTGTCCCAAGTCAGCCGCGCCCAGTGAGGGCATTGAGACAGCCATGCCTATCAGCCATGCCCACCTACTCATGGCAACCTGGCTACTGGTCCTTTGAGGGCAACTATAATGCTGATGCGGCCCTCAATGAAATTATGTTTGACACCCCTGAGTTCATTGCCTTCCAAAAGGCTAAGAAGGTAAGAACCCTCTGGATAAAGGCTATTCCATACAGCAGGTACCACTGCAGGAAGCAATAATAATAATAATAATAATAATAATAATAATAAATAATAATAATAATAATAATAACAACAACAACAACAACAACAACAACAACAACAACAGCAGCAGCAGCAGCAGCAGCAGCAGCAGCAGCAGCAGCAGCATTTATTGTCATTGTACATCATGTGTATAACGAAATTGGTTTAGCCTCTACTGGTGCAATCCATAACAGAAAATACAAAACAACATGAATAGTATAAGGAATAATCCTTATACAAGTAATTGGGGGGGGGATTTATGGGGCTTTAAACTATTCGAGACCAACTTCTGCCACAAACAGCCTCCCACCGGCCAGTTCGCTCTCACAGAGAGGGTCTCCTCAGGGTGCCATCTGCCAAGTTATGTCGGCTGGCGACACCCAGGGGGAGGGCCTTCTCTGTGGGAGCCCCTGCCCTGTGGAATGAACTGCCACAGGAAATGCGCAAGATCTCCGACCTCCGTGTATTCCACTGTGCCCTCAAGACCCTGCTGTTCCGCCAAGCCGGGCTATCAATTTAATGATTTTTAAATTGGGTTTTAAATTTTTGGGGTTTTAAATTTCAGCCGAATTATGTAATAATTTTAATTATTTTTAACTGATATTTGTCTTTGTGTTTTTTAATAGGCTGTACACCTCCCTGAGTCCTTCGGCAGAAGGGCGGTATAGAAATAACATTATTTATTTATTTATTTATTTATTTATTTATTTATTTATTTATTTATTTATTTATTTATTTATTTATTTATGCATGCATGCATGCATGCATGCATGCATGCATGCATGCATGCCACTGTACTAGTAGTGATTGTGAAAAGATTATGGCCACAGTTACCATTTTCTGGTATTCTCGAGATTAAACTATGTTTGATATTGTGCACAGCAATTGATTACCTAATTATCTACAAATACTGTATGTTAGCCTGTCTTCTGAAATTGAACATCGAAACAATTCCACTGACAATCTATTTGAATCATATTAGGGCACAAAAAAAATGAAAGCAGACAATTTTGGACTGGCAATACGAACTTAGAAAGTTTTTCCATTGGCTTGTCTGGCACATAGTTTTGTAACTTCATAAAGCTTTTTTTACTTTTCCAAGTCCTTTAACGTGGCCCATATGATCACTTTTGCCCATATCGGTAGCCCTAGATTTATGACTAATTGCTTAGTGACCATCCAAAATTTAAAAAGACCTATCTTGGGGCTACTTATGATACAGATTTGAAGTTTCAATAGTCAGCCCCTCAATCATGTGACTACTTCAGCATGCAGCCACAGAGCTCCATTTACAGATCTTTGCAGTGTCCCATGATCATGCAATATGTTTTACAATGGTTTTGCTGAAAAACAGCATTTACTTCCAGTTTTGGGCAAAACTGTGCAAACCATTAATTCGTTTAACAATCATGGTGTTTACTTAATGATATTGCAAAAAAAACTTGTAAAATCAGATTAGTCATGTGACTGATCTATTTATGACCATGACATAAGAACATTATGCACAGGTTCTATTATGGTCATAAGTCGAGGAATATCTCTTATTATTATTTCATACTGTTTTATTGCTACCAACTGATCTGTATCATTCCTTTGAATTATATTGCTTTAAAGTTCTAATTTATTTTAGTGTAATTAGTATAACTTTTATTAGTGCAAATCTCTTAAAAAAACATAAGCATTGCATAGAGTGAGGATAATATACAACTACTAAGTAGAACACAGAAAAATGAAGTGGATATATGAAAAATAAGGACAGATTCTGACCCTATCAAACACATTTATGAGTATTGGGGAATGAAGTATGGATGAATGAAAATGGATGTGCCTGTGTAAATTGCAAGCAGACACAAAAAATGAAAAACATCTGATGACCTCTTGTAGGACAAGAGCAAGAAAGCAAATACGGGAAAGGCAACATGTTTTTGTCCACATTACTCTTTCTGTTTTCAGTATCATAGATTGTTTAATTATGCTAATTTTTTTCACTTCTGACGTATGACATACTTTATGGATAGCCCCGATTGCAAAACTGGTTGAAAATGCCATGCATCCATTAACAGTCATAGAAGCAATCCAAAATTAAGTACAGTTGCAACATCATCATGATTGCAGGTGAGATTAAAAATATTCAATACATTATCATGATTAAACATGTACAAGAAACATATCTGAGAGACTTCCGGTTTGGCGTCGCGACGAGACAGTCGGGGAAATAGCAGGCTCTGATGAGCCCTGCAAAAACCCTGGCTGCTGAACGGCTGACGATGGGTCTTCGGACCGGAACCATCCTGCAGGGACGGGGGAAAAGGAGGGGCACCTCGGATGACCAAGAGGAACAGGCAAGTTCCTTGGAGATCAGAGGGAACCCTCTGTGAGTTGGCGGTGGGGGGCAGCAGCCATGGCGGCTGCCACGAAGCTGGGACAACTGGGCTAAGAAAAGGGCTGGAGGAAAGCGGACTGAAACGGAGCTCTTTGAAGCTGGGTGACAACAAACCCAGGCGTGTAACAACGTCTGGAGCAATATTAATATCTAGAAGACCCCTAGTCTAAAACAGCGGCTGAACAACAAAGGGGCTTTGGAAACTTTAAACTGCAACCTTAAAGAGACAAAGACCCGATAAACAACTAATTTTTGAACAGAATTAAGGAAATTAAATATCGAGATATGGTTAAAAGACTGGATATTTTAAAATATGAATTGGATCTTAAAAAAGAAGATTTGATATTTTTAAAATTAAAGAAGAACAGTATAAACTGGACTGTTACATAATTGTAACAAAATGGATACTGGCATGACTAATGGAAATTGTGGATTGTAGAGAGACCCCTTCTGGTCTATAAAGGAACCTTGTAACTCGTTTTTGTTATGGAAAATTTGGAACTTTACAGATAAATCATGGGATTTTGTGGAGGTTTTCTCTTCCTGTCTGCAGGCAGCTTGACTTTGGTGAATAGAAAAGGAAACTATAACAGAACTCCTATAATTGAAATAACAATAATTTTAAAACTGGCGCAGGAATAAAAGAAGGATCTAGCACAGGCTCAAGAGAAGGGAACTTGATGCATTTTATCCAGAATAAAAATAAGGAAAAGATTCAATA